CCCACTTGCTGCCTGCCGCTCCCCTTCCCCACTGCTGCTGCTCACTGCCACAGTGCCCCCCCAGTCACAGGAGGCACCAGTCATTCGTGTCCATGGTGGTGCCGAGGGCACTCGCAGGGAGGCTTCCTTGGACGTCCAGACCCCAAGCTGGAAATGACCTCATCAGAGAAGTAGAAGGTAGACACTGAATGCCAAATATTTAACAAAGAATGGACTTCTAATTTTTTTTTTTTACCAATGTGAATGGAAAAGCTGTGTGCTTAATTTTCAAAGAAAGTGTGGCTGTGTTCAAGAAATATAATTTGAACCAGGATTTTAAGAGAAAGCACGAATCCAAATATAAGAACTTGTCTGCCAAAGAAAAAGCAAAGAAAGCTGTGGAGATGGTTGCTCAAATGCAGAAAAAGCAAAGTTTTTTTCACAAAACTTTCAGTGGCACAGGATGGAATTATGAGAACAAGCTACTTGATTGCACACAAAATCACCAAGAACAGTAAACCATTGTCTGAAAGAGAATTTACAAAAGAATGTATGGTTGACTCTGCTACAATTTTGTGCCCAGACAAGAAAAAACAGTTTGAGAACATTTGCTTGTCAGTGTGAACTATTGTGAGACATGCTGAGGGTATCTCTGAGAAACTGGACCTGCAGTTGAAAAAGCAGGCAAAACATTTCTCTTATTTTGGAAGCAGTAAATCAAAGCTTGTCAAAATTAGGAGTGGAATGAAAAAAATTGGCTAATGTGACGACCAAAGGAAGTCCAAATCTGAGAGGCAAACATGCTGGATTGCTGAAAAGAATTCAAGACCAAGTTGAAGAAACAAATCCAAAACAGACAATTATTTTTCTACATTGCATTATTCATCAAGAGGTCCCCAAGTGGTCTAAAACTAAGTACTGTATTGGACACAGTTATGCAAGTGGTCAACTACATTTGAGTGAGAGGATTAAACCACAGGCAATTTGTAATTCTGTTTGAGGAATCTGAATCTGCTCACACAGATATTCTGTATCATACCAACATAAGATGGCTTAGTTTGGGTAACATTTTGAAAACTGTGTGGGAAACGAGAGCTGAGATTGGCTTCTTTCTGAACATGAAAAATACCGATTAAGATTTCCAACAGCTGAATGATGTGGATTGGCTCTCTGATTTTACATTTGCTGTTGATATCACTGGCCACATGAACAGATTGAATTACAGACTAAGGGAAGGGGCTTCTTACTCATGAATTGCATTTTAGTGTCAAGTCATTTATAGTGAATCATAGAAAATTATGGTTGGAAGGGACCTCAGAAGGTCATTTAATCCAACCCTCTGCTTAAAGCAAGACCACCCCCAGCTAGATCAATCCAGGAAGGCCTTTGTCGAGCCAGGCCTTGAAAACCTCCAAGGATGTAGATTTCACCAACTCTCTAGGTCAGTGGTCTCCAAACTTTTTTGATCGCGCACCCCTATCAGTAAAACATTTTTGAGCATGCACCCCCAATTATATGTATATTTATATAAATATAAATAGAAGTTCTAATATTTTCTTCCTGCACCCCAATTGATTGTCTTGCGTACCCCCTGGGGTGCATGCACCCCACTTTGGAGACCACTGCTCTAGGTAATGCTTTCCAGTGCTTCACTACCCTCCTAGTGAGAATGCTTTTCCTAATATACAACCTAAACTTTCCTTGCTTCAGCTTGAAACCATTGCTCCTTTTTCTGTCATCTGTCACCACTGAAAATGGTCTAGCTCCATCCTCTTTGGAACCCGCTTTCATGTAGTTACAGGATGCTATCAAATCCCCGCTCAGTCTTCTCTTCTGCAAACTAAATAAAACCAGTTCTCTCAGCCTCTCCTCAGAAATCATGTGCCCCAGCCCCCTAACCATGTTTGTTGCCCTCTGCTGGGCTCTCTCCAGCTTGCTCACATCCTTTCTGTAGCAGGGGACCCAACACTGAACACAGTATTCCAGATTTGGCCTTGCTAATACAGAATAGAGGGAAATAATTATTTCCCTTGATCTTCTGGCAACATTCCTACTAATGTAGTCCAGTATGCTGTTAGCCTCCTTGGCAACAAGGGCACACTGTTGACTCATATTCAGCTTATTGTCCACTGTAACCCTCAGGCTCTTTTCTGCAGACCTGCTGCTTAGCTAGTTGGTCCCAAGCCTGTAGTGGTGCATGGGATTGTTCTATACCAAGGGCAGGACTTTGCATTTGTCCGTATTGAATTTCATGAGATTTCTTTTGATCCAGTCATGTAATTTGTCGAGGTCACTCTGAATCCTAGCCCTGCCCTCCAGTGTACCCATTACTCCCCCCAGGTTGGTGTCATCCATGAACTTGCTTAGGGTGCAATCCATCCCACCTTCCAGATTGTTAATGAAAATATTGAACAAAAATGGCCCCAGAACTGTCCCCTGGGACACTTGACTTGATACTGGCTGCAAACTAGACCTCAAGCAGCTGAACACTACTTGTTGAGCCCAATGATGCAGCCAGCTGTCTATCCACCTTACAGTCCGTTCATCTAACCCATACTTCCTTATCTTGCTTGCAAGAATGCTGTGGGAGACTGTATCAAAAACCTTACTAACATCAATATATATCATGTCCACTGCTTTCCCCACATCTACAGAGCCCGTCATCTTATAGAAGGCAATCAGATTGGTCAGGTATGACTTGCCTTTGCTGAATTCATGCTGATTGTTCCTGATCACTTTCTTCTCTCTCTGTCTCTCTCTCTTTTCACTTTGGAAGTTACTCCTTTTCTCCCATCAGATAGGAAATAAAGAACTCACCCATTTTCCTATGTTGCAGTAGACTACTGTTTGTGATCAAAATGTGAAAAAATACACATCATGACTGCGCAACTTGCATACTGAATTTTCTCACCAATTCAAGGATTTTTTGAATGATAGAAAATGACCTGTTTTTGGTCTCCTCACCTCCACATTTGATGTTGACAATGCTCCATGTGACCTCCAACTAAGAGCTTATTGACTTGCAATGTAATGCATTACTTGTGGAACAATTTAAATCAGTGCCACTTCCTAGGTTTTACACCTGTCTCAATGAATAGAACTTTCCAAAGATCATGGCTCAGAAGATACTTGTGCTGTATGACTCAACATACATGTGATCAAACATTTTGTATGGTGAAATTGAGTAAATCAAAACATAGATCTTTGACTGATGACCACTTTGCAGCAGTGGTCCGCATTGCACCAATGGAGATGTGCCTGACTTTGGGCATTTGTACACTTATTTGTGTTGTAGTGTCAGGCACAGCATTTGTATAAACAGTGAAATGCGCATCAGCGCTGAGAAAATGGCGGCGGTGTGCCTTGAACTAAAACACATCGAAGGTGTGTGAGTTCGAAAGCACACTGCCACTTTCTCAGCGCTGGTGCGCATTTTGACATTTATATATGCAGCACAGTGCCGGGCGTGTCAGCTCGCATGCAGAGCAGACTCGATTAGTCGAGTCTGCTTCGATGCACTGGATCTCCGGCACGTCAGAGCAGGCAAATGTATGTGTATAAATGCCCTTTGATTCTCTGGTTAATGCACATCAGAAGCTTCATTCTTCCCACTGAATTTCCTTGTTTTTCTTTAACCTAATCTTCAATACACAAGAGTAAGACTTTGTTTTGAGCTATTATGCAATTGTAATATGCACTACTCAAAAAAACCCCAAAACGAATCAGGTCAAATTTTTTTTTTGAAATAAAATTAAAATATTTTAAAGTAGAGGTGTGGTTTTTAGCAAATGATTTGTTCTTTATCTGTAATTTGTGAAAATGATATCTTCGTCTTTAATTTTATGTATGTAGTCTTCAACAGCTCACCAAATGTGTTAAGTGTCTCTCCAGCTAAAATAATTGCCCACCCCTACTATAAACACAAGGTTGTTTTGAGTGGTGTAAAAAAAAGGGCCTGGGAACCCTGAATACTTTGTCCTGGGCTTAAGGGTTATTATGTTCATGCCTGTACTATGCCTGCAAATGACCTGGCTAGCACTGTTTATCAGTTGGTCATGGATATTAGTGTCTAGGCTTGTTTGTGGACAATAAACCTGGCTGAGTTTTTGATCATAAGAATTGAGGCCTGTGGTCTCCTTCTTGGAGTAACAGGCCCATTAGGGATGTGGCATCGCAGACTGCATCTTGACAGATGCATCTTGATAGACCATACTTAACCCCCAAACAACACTGTCAGAATCAGAGAACGCGTTCTGGGCTCTGTTCCTGCCTCTGTCATGGACTTGCTGTGTGACCACAGACAAGCCATTTCACTGCTCTGGGCCATGTTCCCCTTCTGTGAAATGGGGGTGATAATACTTATCTTCCTTTGTCAAGTGTTTTGATGGTTGGGGATGAGAACCACTATACAAGAGCCCAGTATGATTCTATTCCAATAAAGTAATACTTTCTTGTTATAGGAAGAATAGAGCAAGTTTGGTACTGGTGTTTACTGATTTACTGTAGACGGCAAATGTAGAGGCATACATAAAACACTTCATTTGATATTTGGTTCAAAGGAACAGTTAAAATGGGAAATGTAGTTTCAGATGTAGCTGCTGTGAGGATCAGTAGCTCTGGTCTAGTGGGCTAGCAGTTCCAGTCTGAAGAAAAGGAATGTGTAAAGGTCAAAGGAATAACATGGAGAATGGCCTACAGGGACCTGGGAAGCTGTAGGGAAAATCCTGAAATTGTAAACACAGTTGTGTAAATTGATGGCTAAGGAAGATGGTTCACGAATTTTTGGGGCAAATGGAAATTGGAAGGGCTATATACAGAAAGGAGAGAAACCCCACTGATAAATGCTATGGAGAAGCTACTGTGATTGTTTCATAGCAAAGGTCTCTTGAGTTCCTCAAGTGACTGATGCTGTGTCCAGGCATCCCTCCCCACTCCCCTTGTCTGTCAGTGCAACCTGAACACGGTAACAGTTTTTCTAAAGTTCCAATAAAAAGATAATAACTTCAAAAAAGGGTCCTAACTAGAAAATAATTAAATTTATTAATACATTGAAAAAGATCACACAAACACATACCTGCACATACATGAATAGAGACACAGTGGTCCTGTATGCGTTCATGAATAGATATATAAAATGATGGTAGAAGTGTGGTATGAGGTGAGATATACAGTAGGAATATTACAGTCTGATGGGCAGAGAATTGCCTTTATCTCCTCAAAAACCACACATGATATAGCAAATTATTACACCTAAGAGATAATTATGTGTATAAAGGAAAAAAAAAACCCACAGAAATATGTTTTATTTTGAACCAAAAGTTAAAATTTTATTTTCAATATCAATATACCAAAAAAAAATAAAAATAAAAAGTTCCTTTTATGCAGTGAAATAGCCATTTTAAAATGGTAAAATAAAGATATATCTCATTCTAGTCTCTCCTAGTTATTGTACACATATTTAATTTTATCTGAATAGAAATCTAACTTGAACTTTAAGACTCCAAGAAGCCTAAAGCATGTGGTGAGTCAGTCAGTGCTGTGTTTTTCAGCAGATGGACTAATTTGAAACTGTCCAAGACTAGGAAAAAGCAAGACTTTTCAGGAATGCTATTATGTCAGGGGAATGCTGTTTCACATCCAATAGGAAGGAGGTTCTAAATCACATCGCCTAGTAGGAAAAAGCAGCATTCCATTGAGCTAGACTGATGTTCCAGGAAAGGTCTCCAAAGCTGATCTAATCTAGTTTGGGTAGCTGGTTTTCTTGAATCCTACACATGGTTTTGGCTCCCATAGAAAAACGTGATTAGCAAGGAACTGATCCTGCAGTTGGTCCTGTATGGGCAGAAACCTCAGTGTCTGTGCCTTTGTTGACTTCAGTGGAGTCCTGGATGGGCACGGGAATGGCTACAGGATTAGAGCCTTGTAAAATATGTTGTTTTTATGTACATTACTTGAATTTAAAGTATAGAAAAATATTGAAGATTTCTCCTCGTAATTTATTTCCTTTCAAAGATTGCACGGATGTGTCTCAGGGTAACGTGGCTAAGGATTATTTTCAGGGCCTGGGAAGTATAAAGCAAATTCATTGCACAATGGATACAACAGAATTTAGGTCTTTCATGACATTGCAGAAGTAGACTCTAATGGCCTGAATGAAAGCCAGTGAAGTCAATGAACTTGTTTCTACTGACTTCAGTAGGCACTGGATCAGGCCCTGAATGTCTGAGGTACAGATTATGCTAAAGAAAGGGTTCATCATCCATTAAAAAATTTCCTCCATCAGAGCTATCTTATTAATAATGAACATGGAGCATACTTATTTAAATGTTCATGTAAACATATACTTTTATAACTGGGTTTGAAATACAGGGTAGAAAGCAAATAGCTGATTGGTTTTGATATATTATATTGCACTAACATACTGTATCTGGCACTTGCTCACAGAGGCTGATTTTTTTCATCATTGTCATCATTTAGGTATGTGCTCTGTTACATAAATCCAGTTACCTGAATACCGGATAAATTTGGCTCACTCCTGTATTTGTTAATTCAGACTCAACGGGTTCATTAAGAGTTTACTTTATGAGAGTGAAGGAGCATACTGAAATCAAGACTTCAAGGTCACAAACTGTCAAACTATTTCTATATAAATATAATCACAGAACAATTCTGAAACTCTCATACACTTGATTACAATCAGGGAAGCAGCTGTGTGATTAACTGCACAACCAAAGGATGGAAGCATGATTTCACTAGCTATGACAGTGGGAATTGTAAGATACAACCTCCCTTCATTATATGTCTATCCGGAAAAGTTCAAAATTTAAAAGTCAGCCTTTTAAAATTAGGATGCTAGATGTAAAAGCTTATTGCCATGTAAACAGGTTTTACCAGGAAATACTAACTCCTGGAAAATGAGATAATTTCCCTTGTTTTTATTGTGATGTGTAATAATATGATTTTTCTATGGTGTTTACTCGTTGACGTTATTTCATTTGCACAGTTGTGTCTTTATCACATAACCTAGATACTTTGTTAGTTCACTGTGACATTTTACTGGTAGGCAGCCTGTGAGTGATCCTTCTTTGCATCCAGTCACTCTTATGTGCACCGAGGGAAATCAGACACATATCATTTGTGACTGTGATTTCTGAATGTTGGTAAGCATGGGTTATTTTCTCAAAGATAAAACTTAGGAGCCTTCAGAATTACCTTACTTTTTGACATTTTATTAATCAAGTGAAAATCTTTTCTTTAAATATTCACTAAGCAGTAGAGATGTTGAGCCAGACCTTTGCTCTTAGCTGCATTAGTATGAATAGAAATCATTGCAGCAAAATTATCCTGGATTCATACCTATGTGAGGCAGATTATGGGTATGCTATGCTATTGGTATGTTATTATGAATAAAGCAAGGTAGTGAATTTAGCAAGCAATACCTACTTTATGGCAAATGCCTGTGTACACACTGTTAATCCACAGCAAATATAAACTGGTTTACCCCACTTTCATGGAGAGGGAAGCTGTCTGATATTTACAGGGTGTATTCACACACTGGCAGTTGCTGCAGAGTAGTTAAATGCACTATAAGTTTACACACTAGCTTGTTTTGAGGATATGTACATGGAGAATGTTGCCCCAGTAAACTGTAACTTCCTTGACTTTAATAAGCCAAATTAATCCAATAAACAATTTTATCATCTCTCGTGATTTTATTGCAGGTCCCATAGTATTTAGTGTTTTTCTTAAAGTCTGAACTCTGTAAGTCACATGAACACAGCAGAATTTCTCCATACTTTTTTAAAGTAAGTTTCTGGCCTTCATGGCAGTGAACAAAAGAAGATGACATATGCACTCCAAATTCTGAAACTACAGAGACAAAGAAAACCCACATGTATTTATAAAGCTAATGGCATTTTAGGGCCTGACTTAAATGTTAAGTGCCTGAAGTAAGGTGGCTTTACATGCTAGGACTAACCTGATCTCAATATGTTTAACTTTGATGCTGTATAGTTGGTGGGGTCTCTGAATATAATGTATGCATATTTATTAAATAAAAATGTAACATGGGTGATTTTATTCCTTTAAATTCATTTATCAGAATTGACTATAGTAAAAACGTCAGGAGTAAAATCCTATGGTCTGCTACAACAGTATAATAGGAGAGAAATACATAAGTCTCTGGTGTGCCAGCTGAAAAAGTAAACTGCAGTTTTCATTTCAGTATTATAGTCCATTTTCTCTCATTTGCTACGAAAAATCTCATGTTTCTCATTTTGCAATCCCTTATTCACACAATTTTTTTTATCTGAGTAGACCAACTGACTTATGTGAAGACTCCTCTACTGCTCAAGTATTCCCATTGACCTCCATAGGTGAACAGAACTCCTAAGTTAAGCTGTTGCAGGAAAATTACTGCATTAGAATGATTTTCCATGCAAATGGTAGAACTCAGTGGGAATTTCCTAGAGGAGCAAGGTACTATTCAATGGTGGAATTCTGGTTCCACTGAAGTCAATGCCAAAGCTCCCAGGATTTCATCTAGTACAAGAGTACAGCAATCTGGCCCTACATATTTAAGTGCTATATTAATTTGTTTCTATCTTGAGAAATAAAAACATGATATGTAAAATACTGTAAGTTGTTTGGAAATACTGCTTGTTAAAAAATCTAATGTTTCATCCTTAAGTTGCACCCTCAAGCTCAAGCTAAAAATCTTTATCTACCTATGAGAATCCCAGTTTATTTGTAATATTTGTTGGGTATTTAAATAATAAAGCTTCAAATAACTGAAAACGAATACTGTTTTCCCCACTGAGCAGATATTGGGTGAAATCCTGCCCCATTCAAGTCAATGGCAAACCTCTCATTGACATCTGCGAGGCCAATGTTCACTCCTAATTTCAAGACAAGTGTGGATCACTTTCATCTCCTTTTCGTTCATTTCAGTCCCTGCAGAAAGAGACACAGAACTGGCAATGGCACAATGGTGGGCTGTTTACTGATGCTTCTGTTCTGATTTTATTCAACTGTAATTTTTCCTTCTCCATTTTTAATTAGTTTACTTCAGTTATTGCTGCCTTTAAATAGGGCAAAATTAAGCAGGAAAAAGAGACTTATTGCACATTATATTTATCTGCTCCCAAAGCTGTAAAATAAATGGGTCACACATGTAACTGGGGGTTTGTCTAATATTTCCATTTATATAGTAGTTCTATAATTTAATATTACATTTTGCTGTTCGTTTTGTGTCCCATAAAATAATGCCAGAACATCAATAACTTAAATACCCCAAATGTTTTTCCTGCCTGTTACAGTTGTGATTTAGCCCACGAGGGCTTTCTGATTCTTTTTGAGACCATTCATGTTAATGTGGAATGTAACTTTATTTTTTTTCTTTTGTATATGATTAGACATGGAAAGCCCTTGTCATCTCTAACAGGATACTCAAGCAGCTCCGTTTCATGAATGACAGAACAATTAAAGCTAAAATAATAATAAGAAACCCCCTCTGCACTGCACAATCTCAAATTAAAGCAAGAAAGATAATGACAATCTTTTGCGTAAGCCAGAAAATGTGATTCTCTGCCAATGGGCTTTTTTTTTATCTTGTTGACAACTCACATAACGTGTATATGGGTGTAGTTATAGGTTGTGTGTATATCCTATGCAAAACAGCAGCTCCTATTCTGTTGATCTAGGTCTTCTAATTGCTTAGTTAAACTATCTAACTGATACAATTTAGAATACTACATTTAACACATTTAACATCAAGTTTACATACTTGCTTCTTTGAAATACAAGGAACTTTTACACATTTTATTTGGCTTTGTAAAGACTGAAATATTACAGATAATGCAATCTACTTTTCTCTGAAAGTGTATGGCTCTTATCAACTAACTCTCTGCGGTTCAGAGTGAAATACCTTGTTTCTCATAATTGTAGCTAACTTGAGAATCAGATATCTTCTGAAGTGGTCAGTAGGATGCTACAGTACAGATTCTACAGATCTCTTTAATTAAGGATAATTCTCTCTGGACATTAGAGTTAAGTTGTTGCAGCAAAATTATGCCATTTAGACTGATTTTTCTATACAAATCTAAAAAATCCCCAAATTCCAAGTATGTTTTTGTTGTAGTATCTCCACATGACCAGAGGAGGGCACTTTAAACATCTTTGCACTGCTCATAAAGCAAATGCAGAAGCACAGTGTTACCCAATGTCACATACAGTCCTGCAGAACACTATGATGGTTGCAGATATTCTTTCTGAGATTCACAGAAATATGACATATGCGCTGTGTAATTTATATAGAGATTTCAGCTCTCCCTAATTCTTTGGGTTTTCTCATTTTTTCTAATTTACTTCACTCACAGTTCTACTACTGCATAATTTCAGATAATTTTAAAAAGCAGATTAGGGAGTTCTCTTTTTCTAGGCCCTGTACATTTCTCTGTTGTTAACCTCAGGTCATTTAACAAAGCTTGATTGATTTAACCCTCTAGGTCTAATTCTGCTGTGGAAATTACTTTCCTTTGATCAAAAATGCACTTGAAAAATGCACTGAGTACTGCAGCAGTGCATCTCATGATATTGAAATCTTGTAAAAGTACTGCTCCTCTCTGCCTGCTGAAAGGGTTGATTTTTTGTGTACCAGATCTGCATGTCCTGCACAGTACACGGTGGAGAAATTATACTCTCAGCATTTCCATTCGCTGCTTCAATAGCGTTCACCCACTTTCCATAACAGACATTCAATATATCCTTTCAATTTTCACATTTTGGCTAAAGATGCCAACCCCTTAGTAAAAAGTTATTAATTCTGCAACATTACTGGTATCATAGACAAAACCCATTTGTCTCCTCTCTGCTTTGTTTTGTTCACGTTTAATACTGAAAAAGATTAGAAAGGATATAGAAATAACTCATTTTTAATAAAAGTCTCCTCGTCCATCCTTGGGAAACACAATGCTTATTTAATATGTGTTTTTCACAATGTTATTCTCCCTTGCTTCTATTTATTTCTTTTTTCTTTTTTTTTGAGAGCAGACAGGTACAAGAAAGAAGATGTCTTTCATCAGCAGTCCTTTGAGAAGGGGTAAAATTCAGTGAGTCCTCACCATGATAGGATCATGAACTTACTGGGTTAAACCAAGCTGACTTTCCCTAAGCTGCTGAGTTTTAGCTGCACCGTACATGTGTTTCCTTGTGCCATTTTTTTTCTTTACTTTTGTTTTTCTTGATGACCCTGAGCTATGGCTTCCATCTTGTTTCTATCACTAGTCAGCCTTCCTTGCTTTCCTGGTTTTGCCGATGTAGGCCTCAAAGAAGAAATGGCAGAATAGCACAAAATAGCTGAGGTACATGAGAGAAGACCAGATGATGTTCTGAACATGGGAATGACACTGGCCCTGTTGCATCCAGGAGAAGACCAGGTAATTAACTACACAGCCAATCAACATCTGAGTGATCTGCGATAAGGTGATGAACATGGCAATCTTGCGTGAAACTCTGAAGCCAGCAGCCCTCAAGGCGTAGTAAGAGTACATGACTGCGTGCACGCCATAGTTCATTGTCATGAACCAGCCACCGCCAGCCACCATGTCCTTATAAGAGTACCAAGAATAAAGCAGCACGGTAATATGGTGGTACCAGTGTAGGAAGATGAGCTTCTGTTTTCTAAGAATAATGAATATTGTATCTCCTGTAAGAAAGAGGGAAAAATCAGAAATGAATCCAATTATTTTGTAATTCTTGTATTTTGCAAGGTTTCTCTCCCTCCAATATTGTGGGAGGTTATTTAGGTGGTAGTAATTTGAAACACAGAACAAACCTTAAGATCTCAATATGTGTGACCTGTAAGGGTTTAGAACCCGTACTTTATTCTAGATCTAGATTGTCCCAAAACCAAAACCTCAAGACCAAGCAGTCTCTGCTGTGTTGGTGTGTTTAAAATCAATACAGGATGCAAATTCTGACATGGGCAAGGTCTATTTGAAAATTCTAGTGCTTTGTTCAGAGGCATTTTTTGTGTGTGAGGTAGTTTGTGAAAGTCTGTCATAAGCAGCATGTATTTTAACAATGTGTTTGCTTGTCGAGTGTGTGAATGGCCATTTTTTTGGTGCCACTGACTACAAGACAATGAAATTTAAACAGACAGCAGACAACCATGTTTATGGAACCATATATTCATTATAAGTAAAACCCAACTGTAATATTGTCCTTGAGGTTCTGATGTACAGATTCAAACCAACATTTATAAATCCTGTGTTTTTAATGTTAGGCCTCTAAATCCCCATTTCAGGCCTACAAATAAAAGCAGCCTAATTTCTAGAGACACCGAGCAGTCCCAGCTCCATTCAAAATTAATAAGAGGTGTAAATGTTCAGTATCTTTCATTTAGGTGCTTAAATGTGCATTTAGGCTACCAAATTTTGACCCTCAAGTTTGAAAATTTCAGCTAAAGAAGACGCATATCATTTATTATGGGATCTTGGCACAGAGGTCTTAACAAATACAGTAAAAATGTTCTTTATATGACTCCTCTTCTCCTTTATGTGTACTGGATAGTGGTGTTAGACAAAGATGAGACCAGAATTATGCTTAATGGAATTACTCTGAATGAAAGAATTTTCCCACTGCATTCAATCATCTGTGTTACTGCGTGTCAATTTAAATGTGAACAGGAAGGACTATATTAAGAAATTTACAAAAGCTCTTTATTTGTAGCCATTAGGAAATTAGTGACTTGTGCATGACTGCAAAGTATTTGTATTAAAAACATGAAGCTTGAGCAAACCCCTTCTTATACTAGGGGTACGTTTTGAAAGTGATCAGAAGATGATTACACAAAGACCACTGAAGAAAACCTTTTAAGGGAGACTGTATAGTTAGGTTTCCCTTTGAAACTAACAGGATTTATGAAGGTAAGTGTCAGTGGGACTGTCACAAGACTAACAATCATCTTTAAGCAACGCATGATATGAATAGAGGCCAAGATTTTCAAAAAGTCAAATGTTTTGGGATTCTTCATTTATTTGGTCATTTAACTGGAACCCTTTAAATGGGCTCAGTCTTCAGAGGGGCAGATACCCAGTTCTCTCTGAAAATAAGGCCCAATTCAGGCATTTCAGTTTGTGTACTGAAAATATTGAGGCAGCTGAATCACTTAATCACATCTGAAAATCCAGGCTGCAGCTTCTACTGAATCTTCATTCAAAATTCAAATATAAAGTGTTAGTTTGAAAAGTTCCTCTGACCTATGTCTGCCATCTGGTATTTCCATGCAAGTCTTGTTTGATTAAAAGTAGCAAATAATGGAAGCCTTACAAGACAGATGATTTTTTGACTGTTTCTGGCCCAAGAGTCCAAACATCTCAAGGGAGATTCTGTTCTCATGATGTGTGTTTTCAGGGACTCTAATAAATAAATAGTGTTCTAAGGACCTAGACATATTCCATTTTTACGTTTCTAACTCGCTTTTACACAGGTCTCACAAAGAGCAGACACACGGGCTAAGTACAGACAGTCAGAAAGCCCAAGGTGGAGTCAATCCAATCTTCGCAGGCTTCTCTAAGTTGCATAGATTGGACTAATAACAAATGTAACTCACGTTCAGACTTCGCTTGGCCAAGGAAGGCAGAAGGCTGAACTGGTGAGGCCAGAAGGTGGAGGGTGCTGGAGCCTGCCTTCCAGCCTGCCGTCCATTGCTGAACCCAGGGGAGGGGGCCATCCCTGACAGGCTGCCTGACACATGTCCCTCAACCACTGCTGTCCCCCATACCCATCCCAGTGCTGGGACCCCTGAGCTGGGGTCTGCCCATGTGAGGGCAACCCCATGCCACAGGGGGTTTCTCCTGCCCTGGCTTAGGTCTGGCCAGCAATGGGAATAACCGTGTCCAGAGTGATTCCACCTAGGTGCAGGGCCAGCTACTCAGCCACGCCACCTACCGGTCTCTGATCTTCAAGGGGAGGGGAGGAGTTCCTCATCCTGGTGCTGAGCTGGGGTCTGCCCATGTGGGGACAGCCCCACATCTCGGGGGGGTTTCCCACCAGTCAGGCTGTTTCTGAGCCAGGCATAGCAGGCAGCAGTAGTTGGGGGGAGTGAGGGAGCTGGGAAGAACAAGGTGGCTTCCCCTTCTGCTGAACCAGGGTCTGGCAGGCAGGATCAGGGGAGAAGAACAAGGCAGACTCCCCCTCTGCCAAGCTGGGGTCCAGCCAGCAGATCAAGCAGGAGGGGGTGGGGGGAAAAACACAGGGTCTGCCCTACTGCCAGCTCCTGCCTGGTCTGCTGGCTGGACATCTTGTCAGAATGGCTGTGTGGTCTGGCTGACGTTAGCTAGGCACTGGGCTGGAGCAGGAAGTGTGAGCCGAGTTTCAAGCTGCCTTTCTGCGGGGGGCGGGGGAGGGAGGCGGTGCTAACAGGGTGCAACATGGCATCCTGGGATGCTGGAGGACAGTGACCTAAGTTGAGTCAGGAGGGAATCCGATACTGATGTTTAATAGACTGGTCTAACCTAAACTGGTTAAATCTGATACTATATTCATCCAGGTCTATCTTAAACCAGTTTCTGACATTTTGAAACAGGTCTATGTGCACTGAACTTCTGTTTTGTTACAGGTTTAGACTGGTTTCCAATCACTTATACCAGGTTTATGTGTAATATCTGTCCCGAGCCATGAGATACAGCCCTACACCAGTAAAACTTATATGTACCCACAGAGAAATCAAGAGTAAAATTACTCCAGTATGAATGTACTCTAAAATAGCTGCATGTCTGCTTGCTCTGGACATAGTGTAAATTATTTCAGTGTACAAAACTAATGACTGTTACGCTGATATAAACATAACATGTAGCCAAACACTACATTACCTCTATGAATATCCAGCAGCAGCATTTATGTTAATGGGGTCACTCTGGACTGACTAGTGTACATGAGGATATGGACAAACATACTTTTGTAACTGCTTCAGTAGGGAATGGGAGCTGCAGCTTGGCAGTGTGTAGCAGCTGGTATATTGTGTCTGAATGTGCCTGTAGTGATACAAGTGTGCTAAATCACCCTGTGTCCTTGGATGAAGCAGGATTAAAGTTGCCCTCATTTTGTGACACTTATATCACTACAGGCTCCTGCACATGTAATATATACTGTGTAACAACTGCTGCCCAGTCCAGAGCTTCAGCTTTCCCTTCTGAAGCAACTACAGGTGTCCAAACTGAGTACACGGTTTGGCCTGGCAAGTTCAAATTGCTTGAAAAAGCACTTAAACGTTGGTATTTATACTTATTAAACTGAGTCTCCTGGACCTTTTGAGTTCACCTCCTGTCATTCAAAATACTACTGTCTATCCAACCTAACCACTGGAAGTAGTGCAACTGTGAGCACCACCTAGTCTTAGAAAACTGAACTAGTTAGAAATATTTCACATCTTTTTTCTGCAAATGTTCTTGCTACAGCTACAGAAAAGCAAGTTATATTCCTTCTTCCTGTTACTGTTTCTTTTCTTTCCTCTTCCTGCTGGTCCCCACTGTATCAGTCAATTTAATGATCTTTTCTTGTTTATTTATAGGTATGCCATGCATTTCTTTCAATTACAGACAGTAATTTATAAGGAAAAAAGGAGCCAGGCTTGATTCTGAAGCTAAGTCTGTTACTATATGGAGATCCCTTTGAAAATCCAAATCATGAAAATCAGTGTGGGGTGGAACTGGAACTGTGCCGTGCCATCTATCCTAAGTCTGTAGTAAACCATCAGTACTCTGTTTGCCTCATTAGGTGCAGGAATGCTGAGTCAGGAGTGCTGAGTCACATTTCCATAAGTAATCACAGGACCCATTTAGTAAAGACCTAGACTTCCAGCAGATGTTTCCCCGTTTTAACAAAGCCATAATTCCATACTTCTGATGTCATTTATACAGCAAGAAACCAACACCTCAGGATGACTGGTGTCTCTCTTTTCTGTTCCTGCTGATAAATTGCTGTAACTGACTGAATCAAGCTCTCTGCTGAAAAAGGGCCTATTCTTTCTGTTCACTTGCACACACTTAATTCTGCAGCCCTATGAGGGTTGAGTAAACTGCATACTCAGAAATGAACACTGGAGGGCTGCTAAATCATTCTTTCCTTCTGCCATTAAAAAAAATCCTTTCATACAATAAGCCTAGAATCAGCAAACAAACAGGTTGGATAATAAACCAACTGGCAAATATTGTTGTTTATAGCCTTACAAAAATTGCTGAAGAGAAAAGAGTTTACCAAATCTGCAACAAATAGGAGGGTGGGTGGAAGAACTGGTGATGTTATCGAATTTTTTTTTAACTGGAAGAGGCCTCTGGTGCTTTGTGGGAAAATACATTGTTTGTATTGTATACACAATTAAGGGCAAGTAAAACAGAACAGGTATCAAATGTGACATGATAAAACATGCCCTTGGAGCCAGCTTTCATTTTCTTATAAAATGTAGGATGAGCAATGAGGTGGGTAGTTCTCTTAACGCTGTATGTAATCACTGGAGGCTTGTAAGAGATCCTTGTTCAGTTCGACAGTGAATTCTTTATATAAGGTTGCCCGTCAGAGAAGCTGAGATCATATGGAGAACCCTAGTCTATGGCTCTATTCTGGGCCCAGGATTTGTCCCCATGAAATGGGCCAAACCTTTAAAATAAACAAAAGGCATGTACATTTCTCTTGGCATCAATAATCAATCAAACAACTATTTGGTTGTTTTTGGGAAACTGAACTACAAAGCTAAAGAAGGACCCTCTATGCCTTGTGATCCTAGTTGCAATACACATTTGCATACAGATTTCTTTCTGCTGTGGAGCCCTGGTAACAAAAGTGGCAGATTCATGTTTGCTGTGGATACTCAAATAGAGAGGAACACACACCACCCACAAAGTGGTGGGTTAAATCAGGTTTTCTTGACTCACTAGCTAACATGTAAGATATTATCTAAGGTTGTATGCTTCAGACGCACTAGCTGCCCAGAATCTGAAGACAAAAAAAATAATTTCTCTTTTATTTCACGGTGGACCTTTTATTCCCTAGTTCTTACAGATTCTAACTGGCTGGCTAGGGTTGGGATATTTAGGTTTCATCACAGCCAGTGTTTGAGCACAAGGATTAATGTGATAATGTAACTCGGGGCTGTACAAATTCTGGGCAGCTAGGGACTACATGTAGTATGGGCTGTATGCTGTGGGAAGTGCCCCTAGGACTTCCCTCCTCACTCTGAGCACAGCCCAGCTCCTGATTACTGCATTCACATACCCTTCAGGTGCCACTGAGCAGTCCACCCTGCAGTGGGGGCAGCATGGCTCCCCCCAGTCCTGCCACATAAAGCATTCCTACCCTGCTCCCAGCTGCACATGTTATGTAGGCAGCTCACCTGCAGCACAGACAGCCTGATTCCTTCATTTGTGGAGCACGCAGCGCTCACAACCCATCACTCTCCCTCACCACATGTACAGCCAGGTCTGTTCCTGCTACACTGCCCCAGGAGACCTGGGGGTGGGAACCAAAAGCTGGAGGAGGGAGAGGGAGCCTGGACATCTTGCCCTTGCCGTCCCAATTGCAAAGGGTGGAGTGGTTGGCATGCAGAGGCTGGTGGGCTGCATAGTAATCCTTCCTAGACCACATGTGGTCTGCAGGCTGCCAGTTGGGCAGCTCTGAGGGAACTGCAATTCCCTCCAAGGTTGCTCATGAGTGTTGGCAGGGTGATATCCCAAAGATTTTTCACTGGGCTAGCTCAGGGTCTGAAGCAGAGGGCACATTTGGAAATGTCCCAGAGGGATGTGCTGCCACCATGGTATACACATACCCATAATTGCTTAGTGGTAGTCTCTGTAAAAGTGAGCTGGTGGTCTTGGTTTGGTCACTGGATCCCAGATCCTCCAACAGATTGAGGAGTTAAACTAACTCCTGTCAAAATAAATAGGAGTTTGGTGTTTAAGTACCTATGACGATCTGGGCTTAGGTGCTTGTATCTCTCAAATCACAAACATTAACTAGCACCTTATCTGCTATTCCAGCAAAGAGGTGAAGTGCTGAGAAAAGAAAGTTAGACTAAATGGGATCGACCTCCACTATATCTGAGGCATAATATCAAGGTGGCACATAGAAGTTTACATTGTTGCTGACTGTCCTGTATCTAGGGAAGCACTTCCTATTCAGGGCTGCCAACCTGGCAGTATTAAGCTGTGCTAAATTCACTTTCAAAAATAAAACCGAGAGATGAAGAGAAAGGCTCCACTCTTTTGCTGGATACTTTGATTTGCCGTCAATACTCTGGTAGGTAAAACCTCTAGTTAAGCCAGAGGTTCTCAACCTTTTTAAACTTGAGTCATCCTTCACTGGACTCGGGAATCCCTTTATTAGACTTGAGGTACCCCTCCATAATTTTTGCAAACTGAGTGGTATCCAGTTTCAAAAGCTAATTTATACATTGCTTGCTTCCTTGCAGTGGGGACAGGGCAGTGGCAAGCATGGTCCTGGAGGACTGGCAAGCATGGTCCTCTGCTTATCTGCTTATCTCATACCTCACTTTTCTCCTCACACCTCTGTCACACCTCAGAGGATCTCACACAACCCCAGGATGCCATGGCACACTGGTTGAGAATCACTGAGTTGAGATTTTTTTTATCTCACCAGAAGGGAATAGAGGTGAAATAGTGAATCCTATAATAAGCTAAGTAAAAACCAGTATAATTTACCTTGATTTGATACTCTTACTCCACTGCCTACATTTTCCCTGGCATTAGTTTGCTTGCCTCTACTTAGCAAAGAAACGAGGTAACTCTCTTACTTCCACTATCAGATATTAATAGTGACTAGGGACAATCAAGCCTTAGTCTGGGTGCATGGAGAAGTGGTTAGGGAGACAAGAGCAGAATAGGTTTTCTCAGCCTCTAAGGGTGTTTCCACACTAGCATGGACGTTTGGTTCCCCAGGGACAAGTAGCAGCGGTATACCTTGTGCCGACGCTAGTTGTCCCGAGGGAGTGCCTGTGCCATGTGCCCTCTGGTGTGCCGGGTGGGGTAGAGAAAGCTGAGGCCAGCACTCTATTGGCCCCTGCAGCTTTATCTGGGATCCTGGGGGTCTCCTGGGGCAGCAGCAGTGGTAATCCTGCCACTTGGAGCCTGGCTGGCAGCTGGAATGTGGCTCCGGCCAGCCAGGCTCCGGTTCTGAGTGGCACATGCTGCCTCCGTGTGTGCCGCTCTGCTTTTTTTTTTCCCCCCACAGGTTTTTTTGACCCCTGGATATCCAGAGGTCAACCCCCCACTCCTGCACTGCTCCCTTGCAACATGGAGAACAGTTGAATGTGTGGTATGTTTTGCTGCAGATGTATGTGCTGCTGCAGACGTGTCTATAGTGCCACATACTGCATGGCCATGCTCGTCTGGACCTGGCCTAAGTGGCCAAGATCCCCAGGGCTGGGGGAATACAGAGAGGCTCTTTGCTTCCTCCTAGATGGGACAAGGACAGGCAGGACCACGAGTCTGCCTATCCTACTCACTGGTCCAAGGACTAGGTGCAGCACTCCAGGGAATGGGACAACTTATTTGTCCTCCCCCCCATTCCTGTGCACTGGGGAGCTAAGTAAATGGGGAATTCCTGAATCCCCCCACCCCGCTCTTTTTTTACCGATTCCCTACTCAGCACTGCAGCAAATGCCACATTATGACCTACAGGCATGAGTAAAGTGTGCTAAAATTAAGGTGAACTGATCTCAGGGGGCTGAAAATTGTCTGGTGGTTCATCTTTTCATTGTTTTAATATTAGTTCAGTTATAATGAAACTTTGAGACTGAGGAATATGGGAATTTTGGTTTGGATTTTTTTTTTTACAAGACACAAAAGCAGTTTTCAGCAGCACTGAGACCTCCTGCATGCTTTCTGCACAAACTCTTGCTATAAATATGCACATTAAGCAAAAAAGGAGAGAAGGCACTCACCTAGTTCAGGTGCTTTGCTTAGCACAAATGCATAAGCCCAGAATTTGCTGACAGGTCCATTGTAAAAACTCTGGTCACAAACTGACTGCTTCAGCCCTTTGGTCATCAAAATGTACAGCATATAAGCACCAGTTCGAAGAGCACCGAATATACTTCAGAATAGAAAAAGAAATGAAGAACATTCAGTAGTTACTTGGCAGCTACACTTAATCATTTCAAATCATTATATGAAAGGAACAGGAATGAAGATTTTTGGGACCGACTGTTCATATCACTGACCCAGAGTTAAAACCAGAGTAACTCCAGTGCTATTGACTTCAAGGAAGTTATTCTTAATTTACACTAGTGCAATCCCAAGGAGAATTTGGGCTGTTTTCTTTCTAACTTAAACTGAGAGTTTGGAGCAGTAACATTATTTCCTTTTCTCAGCCCTAGGGAAATGTTGCTGCATCTGACAGGGGTTTTTTGGAAACATTGCCTTCACCTCTGATACAACAACCTGCTGAGCTCTGATCTTGGTGGTTGGGAAACTACAATGCCCACAAGAAATGAGTTAATAAACAATAACATCATTCCAAGCTAATCCCCTCTCCAGGTTTCTCAAATGTGTTTTGTCATCTGTCTTTTTTTGCCTCAGTCTTGCAATAAACTAGATGGAGACAGACTTCTATCCCCAAACAGAACATCACTGACTTCTGAAGGGAACCTAATTCTAAGATTTTTGGTACATTTATTTTGTTCATTTTGTGCCTTATACACTACCTCTGGCACATTGTTTGCTCTTAGGAAGTCATTGGCAGTAAAGGATTTGACAAGCTAGCACTAGCTGAATTCATTTTATGAGGCACAAAATCATGCTTATTTCCTTAAACTCATTTGAAGAGCAAAGTATGTTGTGTTCTGTAAACAAAATACATTAGAGGGATTTAATTAGTATCACTGGTAAAATAGCTTGTTTTGTAGAACCTCGGATGTACAGGTGACACCACAGGGACAGCTGAATGGATATTAGTCTCAACTTTCCAACCCCTAGCTGTTGGTTTGGTGAGCAGAGGGATGAAAAAGTCACCCTGGTGGCAAACCGCAGGTTCATAACACTCCATGCTGAGAATCTAATTGAAGAGAGAGAGTTCCAATGCTTCTTTCTCACTAGTAAATCACATTGACAATAGAGTTACCTTGGTGAAGGAAGCTCAATTACTTTGCTACTTAAGTGCAAGAGCATTTTCTCATACTGGTTAACTGTATGGCTTTGCTGATGCTCTGGGAGCCTTGATGAACTTTAACAAGCAGCGTGAAGAAAGTTAAGAGGAAGTAAGACCTAGATTCCCTGGGGTGCAGAATATCACCTTGCATCAGAAAGTGCTCCATCACTAAGCTGTGTACACATGTTCAAAAAACCTTGGAAAATTCTCCTGGATTTGTTTTCCTGGTGGATAAACTTAAACAGAGATACCTGAACAGATGTTTGCATGCTGACCTGCTGTGCAGATATGGGTCTTCTGTGCATGCATCTCAGTTTGCACTGCAGACTCCCTGCCAACAGATGACCACAATAAACAGGGCAGTCCTGACTGGCTGTCCCAGACTGTCTACAGCAAAATGAGGGGATTGTGAGGGGCTCCTTGCTTGGCTGAAGCAGTGAAGTCCAGCCTAAGTGACACTCTTCCTGGACCTATGTGGGGGGTTGGAAGCAAAGCACACTGGGATGCTGGAGGACTGTTGCAGCTTCTCTCAGAAGGTATGTTTACAGAAGTTCTCCTGGGAGTGATATAACCCTGGTTCTCCTTAGTTTTGTTTGTTTTTCTCCCCCTGGAGCAGTCATTTTTCCTCTGGGAGAAAAATCCTGAATGCTTATGATTTCCCCTGGGAGACCAACTCTCCCAGGAGAAAGTGAATGTCTCTATGTGGCCTAAGTCTAATCCCTTACTTTATTACTTTCCCGATCCCAGCCTGGTATCAGAGCGTCCCATCACTTTTCTCCCTCTCAGTCTGAAGTCACCATACTACATCCCTCAGGAAGTGCCTTAGTCATAGCACCCCTAACCCATACCTCCCATGTCATAATGCTTCCTATGACTACAGCGTATTAAGAGGGATGAAATGATGCAAGTGACACTATCCAGATGAAGTATTAATTTTCATTTTGTATGTGAACTAGTTTAAATAAGATGCAGAGATTTTACATGTAGGGTAATTAATTCTTGTGACAGTTTACTATGGGTATGGTGGATTTTCAGCGTTTACATTGTAAGGGGCACATCCAGATGAGCGCGCACATGCTTCCTGCCCCGCTTCAAACCCCTTTGAGGTGGGGCAAGAGGCACATGCAGGAATGAAATAATGTTTCCTGTGCTGCAAGTTTGCAGTGTGGGAAGGAAATTAGACCCAGGGATACCCAGCACTAGTAAGGGGTTGGGGGGGCTGGAGGAGGAGGGAAGGGACCATGGGGGGGACCCCCGCTGGCCCCACCCGCTCCCCCAGTCCTCCTGATCCTTTCCCTGCCCCTCCCCATACCAGTCCCCCCAATCCCTGCCCAGCCCCTCACCCTGCTAGCCCCCCAGAACCTCCTGATCCCTGCTGAGCCAGGTCCTGCTGCCCTCGGGTCCCCTCTGCTTCTGGGCTGGGCCCAGGGTGGCAGGACCTGGCGTGGTGCGTGGAGCCCACCCACTGGGTCCTGCCAGCCCTGGGGCTGCCACAGGGACCCGGGGACAGCAGGGCCCAGCAGGCACACAGGCCCCCCGTGCTGTGCCAGGTCCTGCTGCCCTGGGCCTGGCTTGGCCGGGTGGCACAGGGGCCCTGAAGGTGGCAGGACACAGTTGGGCCCGGCACATGGGAACCACTTGCTGTGCCGGGTCCTGCCACCAAGGGCCTGACCCAGCCGGGCAGCAGAGGGGCCCAGGGCCAGCTGGACCCAGGTGGGCCCAGCACGTGGTCCCCGCATGCTGCACTGGGTCCTGCCACCAAAGGCCCAGCCTGGCCTGGTGGCAGGGGGGCCCTGAGGGCAGCAGGTCCTGCCACCAAGGGCTCAGCCCAGCCCAGCAGCAGAGGCCCCAGGACCCGGCTGGGCCTGGCATGCAGTACCCATGTGCCGCATTAGGTCCTGCCAGCAAGGGCCCGGCCTGGCTGGGCAGCAGATGGTTCCCAGGGCTGGCAGAACCCGGCTGAGCCCAGCACGTGCCGCACCGGGTTTTGCCACCATGGCTTAAAGTGCCTGACTCCTGCTGCTGCTGCTAAAGGTAAGTTATGGGCCCAGAGGGAGCTGGGGCCCTGTGGGTGAGGGGCATTCCATGTGCTGTGGGGGGGATGCAACCTGTGGGGGCCAGGGAACCCACCCCTCCTGAGCAGCCCCCCC